CAGCATTGAATGGATCTCCATCCCAATGCGTAGAGCTCTCTCCCTCTTCTCGCTGGATTCGGTAGCAAGTGTGGAGCAGGCGCTGATCACCACGACATGAGTCCAATCGTCGGGTTGAATGGTGTTATCAGCTCTCAGGGCAGAGTAGTACTCCAGAGCAAGTTCAGCTTGCCCGTTCGAGCCGCAGCCCTGGATGATCGCGTTGTAGGACACAACAGTCCGAGTTCCCATGGAGTGGAAAATCTTGCGAGCCTCCTCAAGCTCGCCACACTTGCAGTACATGTCTACCAGGCAAGTCGCCACGAACAGATCTAGCTGTTTCTTCTCCTTGCTCAGCATTGAATGGATCTCCATCCCGATGCGTAGAGCTCTCTCCCTCTTCTCGCTGGATTCGGTAGCAAGTCTGGAGCAGGCACTCATCACCGCGACGTGAGTCCGATCGTTGGGTTGAATGGTGGTACAAGCTCTCAGGGCAGAGTAGTACTCCAGAGCAAGTTCAGCTCGCCCGTTCGTGTTGCAGCCCTGGATGATCGCATTGTAGGACACAACACTCCGAGTTCCCATGGAGTGGAAAATCTTGCGAGCCTCCTCAAGCTCGCCACACTTGCAGTACATGTCGACCAGGCAAGTCGCCACGAACAGATCTACCTGTTTCTTCTCCTTGCTGAGAATTGAATGGATCTCCATCCCAATGCGTAGAGCTCTCTCCCTCTTCTCGCTGGATTCGGTAGTAAGTCTGGAGCAGGCGCTGATCACCGCGACATGTGTCCGATCGTTGGGTTGAATGGTGGTACAAGCTCTCAGGGCAGAGTAGTACTCCAGAGCAAGTTCAGCTTGCCCATTCGAGCCGCAGCCCTGGATGATCGCGTTGTAGGACACAACACTCCGGGTTCCCATGGAGTCGAAAATCTTGCGAGCCTCCTCAAGCTCGCCACACTTGCAGTACATATCGATCAATCCCGTCAACAAGTAGATGTTGCTTTTGTGCTTATCACTCTTGAGCACAGCTTCATGGGCTTGTTTTCCCAAAGAAAGGGATCTGCTCTCAGCTGAGTCTCTCACGCGGTGTATCAGCCTCCCTAAACTCACCCGTTCATCACCAGCTACAGGTGGGGTATGTGGAGATTTGTAGCGGGCCGTGGTGGCCTTACCTACAGCTGGGTCAGCGAGCGACTCGAGTTTTGCAGAGACCCAGGTTGGTGTTTTCCTGTTGGCGATCCACAGGCTCTCTCTGGTAGAAACATGTTTGAAATCCAGGTAGGACTCTGAGAAGAACTTGTTTTTCTTCTTGAACCTGTTGTCCCACCAGAAAGTGGGATCCCTGAAAAACGTTTTCCACTCCATGAGATTGTTGAGAAATGACACACACCACACAAACCCTAGCGCCGCACGCATACCCTAGAAATCCCGATTTCGTGTTTTCTGTTTTTTCTTCTTTTCCTTTTTAAACTTTACAATGTCACAGCTTAACTGCAGCAGCTTAGATGTTTATTGTTTAAAAAAAATCTCTTTGATATATATAGAATGTGAGCCAGCAGCAATCAGTTGCTCAAGAGCTAAAGAATCAGTACATGCTAACAACACGCACGAACTTCCTAGAAATCCCGATTTGTTATTCTCTGCATTCATTTTTTATATGATCTGTTGCTGCATGCACTTAACTGTAGGTAGTCTTCAGTTCTTCAATATAATCTGCTAACTAAAAGATATCGATACACTCAATATGCAAAAATAAACCACACTCTACACAAATTAAATAAAAAATGCTCTTCATGGGGCGACACGGCCAAAAGCCTCAGGGCACCAGTTTTATGCAGAACACTTTCGCAAATGAGTCTCGCCCGGGGTCCATGCACAGGAGTCCTCGGGCAGTGGTAAAACCTCACAAGGCCTCACGTACTTATATTCACCCTGGGCTTCTGGCTGCTCTGCAACATACCTTACCACACCAAACTCTTTTGCATATGAAGCCACGCACGGAGGAAAAAACTGCGCGAGGCCTCAAGTGCTTACAGTCAGTCCTTATATGTGTTCTTGGCCTTGCTCAGTTCATCTCCTTTGTTGTCCACCTGCGCTTCTTTACTTCATGTTTTTGCTTGCATGCTTCGATTGACATCTTCAGATTTTCAAGTGAACGATTGTGGCATACCGTGGCTACGTTTTTCGGAAGAGCTTGGAGGTGCTGAAAGCGGCATTAAATTCGTGGAGGATTGATCTTGATTTGGATTGTATGGATCTCTATAAATTTTCTTCTTTTTCTTCTGTGTTGCCAAAATAACTGGTGTCAAACTTGCTTTTGCAGACTATCTCTAGTACTTCTGGATGCGATCAAGGCCTGCTGCTCATTGCTTCAAAGGAGGAGATGATAATTGATCCCCAAAGAGCGAGCTCGATGGTTTTGTTGCTTTCATCAAGTTATCATTCCGCTGTGATCTGAAACACCACATCGTCCACTGTACTTTCACAGGTTTCGAGACAGGTACCCGGGAAAGGTGTATTCCATTGTTGTTCCTCAGGACCTGGACTTGTTTTGCCGCCTCAAGTGTGAGCTGATCAAGATGAGGGAGAAGCTTGTGATGGCGGAGGCTTGGGCTCGAGCAAGGTTGCAGATGCAGTATGAGGATGATTTCTTCTACAACTATGATGAGTGGGACAGCTTTGTGGATCTTTCCACATTGAGATCGTCGAGCGGAGAGTGTTGTAGCATAAGTTATCTCCTGGAGAAATGGTCCTGGCTCAAGGAGCAGTTTGCACGCATCCGCACGTCAAGATTGTTGGAGAGCTCAACTGGAAGCCAAGGTGACTCATGGGGTTTCAAAACCTGCACTCGGCTTGGTAAGGTTTGGTGAGTTAAATAAGTATGATGAGTTTGAAGAGACAATTGTGAAAAAAAAAGGGGGGGGGGGGACGTCTAGACGTGAAGCGTGCTAGCTCTCCTGAATGTTCAAAGAGGTGAGGTGTCTTAAAGAGGAGATGATAGAGCTGAGCATGAAGCTGAACTTGGCTTGTGCTCCTTCTTGTAAGAGCTAACTAGCTAGCAAAAACAGAGGAGACGGTGAAGAAGATGCCTCTTGAACTCCAAGAGAACAACAGACCTTTTTTTTTAAGGAGGGGAGAAGCTGCTAGCAGCTCAGTGGAGCAAGAGGTTAGGGCTGATGTCATCCCTGTGCGCCAAGACTGCTGGGTGGTTTGGGGCTTGGTGCCAGATCCAGGTAATCTGTGTTCTTGAAAAGCTTGTACAAAGTCACCCCCAGTCGAACATCCACCGGCACCGCACTCCTCCAACCTTGCTTCTGGATCTCACTCTCCAGCATGCCACAAATGGTGAAGAAGGTCCTCTTCTCCATCTGAAGTTTCCTCTTCCACCTAGGTGGTGACATTTCGAGGCTTCACCCACCACAGGCCGATGCAAAACCTCCTCCCAATCACAGCCCGACATACCTCAAGTTCACAGTCTTCTTCCTCAGGCAGCACTTGGAGACTGGGGCTCTTGTCATCCGCAATGTGCATGAAAGCAACAAAACCTAATTGAAGAATGCCAAACCCTAACCTAAGAATCTTCTCGAATATTTCCGGAATAATTTTTAACAACTTCCCTTAAAATAAAATGACCCCTCCCAACACTTTAGATTTGGTCGGGGTTTTTGAAAATTACTTAAGAATTCTCTAAATTCGCCTTCTTTTCGTGCGAAATAATTTTCCCATAAAAAATAAGGGTAAGTACATTACTTTAGCTTAAGTTATTGTGCAAATAGGGAAAACGTAAATTTGAACTTTAATTTTCGGGTAACTCATGTTCGAATTGGTCCAGAGCTAAACTCTTATAAACAGCTCTAAACATGCTCATTTAATTAACCACCAATGAACGGCCAAGATATCTTTACCAGCACTCCCCCACTAATTTTCTTTCGAAAATAAAAAACTAAAAGCAAAGAAGATATTATCAAACACTATTTTTTCAATGTTTGTTTTTTTCTTATTTTCTACTATTAATTAGCTTACAACTCAATCACACAATATTTGGAGCTGAAAGAAATGAATCCAACTTAATTTCAGCAAACTGATGAGGATGGACAATTTTTATTTTCATTTCTTTTGCACTTCTTAATTTACATTTTTTAATTTGTTTCTACTCTTCTTATATGCACTTCTTCGGTGTATTTGGCCCATTATATTTAGCTGAAACACATGTACATGTACACTAGTACACTACGTACTAAGCCTGATACACACTTGTTGCTACTTCTCAACGATTTGTGCATCTGCTGGTTGACACACACACACACTGTGTAGGGCTAGCTCCATCCACAAGAGAGCCTTGAGGTTGGGCACCAGAGGCTGGAAGAAGTCGTCACAGGAGAGAGCAAGCAGGTCACCACTCACGACAAGCTCAAAAAATCTGGAAGGAAGACGTTGCCGAGGAACTGGTGAGTACATCGCAAGAAACAAATGCCATCGTCACCAGCTTCCACACGTCTTCAACGTGCTCTAGGAGCACAAACCCAAAGTTGGTCATGCCGCAAGCCGCCATCACCTTGCTCCCGGAACATGAGGCGGTACTTGCTATCAGCAAAGAGTTTGGGTACCGGCAAGTCTTCATACTAAGGCTTATTATCTGAATCTGGGTGCACCTGTTGGCAGGTTTAGTCAGCATTCCCCCATTCTTCTACCAAAAAGAAATTTAAATTTAAGACAACGTGTCATCCTCCTTTTGCATAGTTTTAACTTTTAAATGTTAATTTTTTCTCTGTGAAGTTTAGGTTGACTGCGGTACTTTGACGAGGCATGCTCACTCAGCGGCCCATGTTTCTGCTTGACTCACGGAGGGTTTAAAACCAGGGATAACTGCAAGAAAGAGCACTGACATGTTTTCAAAATTAGTTGTCACAGGAACATCTGCCATCCTGGAACACATGAACCTGACTGGCATCTTTGCAGATGATTAACCTTTTTACCAGCTTAGAGATGAGAGCAGTGGCTGCATGGCAATCGTCACAAACTCAGAGATTTTTCACAATTCTGATGGTCTCCTTCTGGTGAGAGTTCACCAGAGCACACCGCAGCGCAAGCTTCTCACTGTGGCTGCACAAGTGATCCTCTTTCTCTTCCTTGGGTATGTCTTTTAGAATGTTGATCATATCACTCGCGTACCCCTCCTCTTTCATTCTCAGCAACAATTGCTTGAGCTTGACCGCAATCTCATCACTTTGTGAGTGACTCCTAACCCCAATAGAAAAAAGATGCACTTTTCCTGAGTTAACATCTGTCCAGCTTTTTCGAGCTGTGATTTCTTCAGCAAAATGTCCTCCTACTTGTCCACATTAGGCTTTTTCAAGTAGATCTTGTGTTTCTTCTGGGTTTGCACATCTTCATAAAATGTTGTCTTTTGTTTGTACAGTCTTCTTCCCACGAATGAATATGGTTTTGTCCTCAAGACAAATTATTTGCGCTTGTCGGAGGTTGAATATCGACTTGGTATTGTTGCTGTTGTGAGATAGTAGTAGATGTTGTCCATCTAGGTTGGTGATGTGTGGATTCGAAGGATATTGGAGTCAAGAAATTCATCCATATTGTGTTTCGGTTCAACGGTTGTAATGCGGCTTAAGTGGTTGACTTGTTCATGTTCTCTTCCAAGCTTGTAGATGATCTTGAAGTTGTATTCTTGAAGTAGTAAGAACCATTGTGCAATTCTACCGGTGAGGATCGTTTAGTGTCGCGAATGTGACTTCGGGTATCGAAAGATACTTGTCAACCAGTCCTTACGGACACTCTTTCCTTACTGCCATGACGGCAGGAGGTCGGTACTGCTGGTTCCCATCATTGGCCCCTCTTGTCCAAGTGTTAGTAAACTGGGCTTAGCATCTGTACTTAGCCAGATGGACATAAGGTAGGAACTCCTATGTGTTTTTAGCTGAGCATTCTCGGCCTGGCTTTTAGTTCTCTTTTGCTCTGTCTTGCACTGGCTTGGCAAGAACCCTCGCGTATTGAGACTAGTCCCTCAATATCGCTGGATGATAGCTTACCGTGTCTGCCAAACACCCTCGCTATCACACCCTTTGTATTAGTCTCATTTCGGTCTCAAATGCTATTTATGGAAAGTGTCTAGATTCGCTCATTTGGCATATCTACGGAATGTTGAGGTCGGCCTGAACACAATGGTGTTCGTCCCGTGTCCAAATTCGCAATCTAAGGCCATTCCATATTTAGTAAGTTTCGAGCTTGTCCCAGAGACTAACTCCTGGTACTAAGGGTGGCTTGGGGTGAAAGCCCAAAGCATGTGTCCCTCAAGGGGGGGGGGGGGGGGGGGGGGGTTGTGGGGGGTTCCAAATGTATAGTAGGGATAGTGGTTGGAATGCATGTCCGACCACCTGAGACATTAGTTTGGCTCCCGCTGGGCTGTGTCGCTCCTTGTTCTGCGTCCGGCTTGGGTCTAAGCCCAAGCTCCACGCTGCTCTAGTCGGTGGAGTACCCTCCTTCTCGTGTTAGGCCACCGGTATGCCAAAATTGTGCCAGACTTCGTCTGACACCATTTTGTGTGCAGGTGTTGGATACGGGGAGCTGGTGCTCATGGGATTGTTCCGGACCCTCGTTTTGTAGCGCAACGGGCTTGGAGTTCGGCTCCAAATTCAGGTGCGCTACATTTGGTATCAGAGGACTTGTCTCAGCGATTCCTATCCAACTTTTGTCGGATTTTCTGACTCAAGTTGCATACGTAGAGACTTTTCTAGTAGATCCGAAGCGACCTGTGTAGGATTAGTTGGATAGCACCATTCGGTAAGAATGTTGTATGCATGTTCAGTTACTGATGGAGGCATGCATGCAGCTAGCAGGATGGTGAAGAGGAACTGTGTTGATGACGCTGAAACCTCTAGACGGGCGAATCGAGAGGAGGAAACTCCTGCTAGAGATGCTGCGGAAGGGGCTGAGGCCGAGTCAGAAGAGGATGAGCCAAATGCTGCAGCACTGCAGCGCACGGCTCATGAAGTCGAGATCGAGAATTTGCGAAAAGAGATTCGCAAATTGAAGAAGGAGAACAAGAAGAGGAAGAAAGAAGCTGAGGCAGCTAAACCAGCCAAGCCTAAGCAACCAAACTCCTCCTCTAGTTCTGAGGATGATGAAGTTTTGCAGCCGCCCCCGGTTGCACGAGTTTCAAAGTTCAAGCCTCCAAAGCCACCCAACTTCAGAGGCATGCGGGACTATCAAGTTTTGGAAGACTGGGTCTACGATATGGAAAACTATTTCATAGCAGCAGACGTAGATGATCGTACGAAAGTTGCGTGCGCGCAATCCTTTCTCACCGATCATGCCAAAACTTGGTGGCGCCAGGTGTGTGCTGAAAAAGGGCAGACTAGAAGTTGGACCAAGATGCGGTCTCATATCCGTAAGGAATACTTGCCGGATGATCTTGGTCTGAGACTTCGCGCAGAGCTGCGGCGGTTAAAGCAGCGAGGGGACCTTATGCATTACGTTAATGCGTTTGCTCAGAAGCGCATTATGATTGCAAATATGAGTGACGAAGATGCTCGGAGTTATTTCTTGGAGGGTTTAAGTTCACTTTCTCGTAATGAGATCTTGAAGTTTAAGCCGAAGACATACCTGGAGTGTAAGGAGGCAGCGCAGCAAGTTGCCTTTAGTCACTCGCTCATGGAACAATATCAGCAACCTTATGCTGGTAACTCGGATAAGAATAGGAATTCTGGGAATAAGCAAGGTGATCGGAAACAAAGGGTAGAAAGTAGGTACCGCCCTAGGGGCTCACAAGCTACGGTGAATAAAGGTGGTGGTGGTTGGAGACCACCAACAGCTTCTTCTGGTCCTAGGCCCTCTGTTCCTCCTCCTGGTGGGTACAAGCAGCAGCAACCTGCAAAACCTGCTCCTAGCGGAACGGGTAGTGTGGGTCATTGCTTCCATTGTGGAGAGTCGGGACATAGGTCCTCGGAATGTCCCAACAAGCATAAGACAAGGTCTCGGGTTAATGTCATGAGGGAAGACGGTGGTGGTGAAGCTGAAGGGGTTGACGAGTTGGTCAATGCAGACTATGAGGAAGAAGAGGTGAGTAACTTTCGTTGCTTTCCTCAAGCTTTTCTTGCAGTCAATGCAAACACTGATCCGTTGATGTATCTGGTAGGCTTTGTCCGTGGACACCGAATCCGAGTGATGATTGACACGGGAGCTACGCACAGTGTGATATCCGAAGACTTAGTTAAGTTGTTAGGATTGAATGCTGAGCAAATGTCGCCTATGCACTTCCGGTTTGCGGAAGGTGGGCAAGTAGCCAGAAAGTTTGTGAGTGATGTTCCAATAAAGATATCCAAGTGGAAAGAAAGAGTGGACTTGGTAGTGTTGAAGATACCAGATTTTCAGATGGTGTTTGGTATGGATTTCTTCAACAAGTATATCAAAGGGATTTATGGTGCTGGACAAAGTCGTATCACGTTGAAGTCAGAAGGACGTCCTAATGTATCCTTTCAGTTGCAAAAGCGTTCCTCAAAGGATTGGGATGCAAAGTTCCTGACTGTGAGGGCCGCTCAAAAAGCAGCTAAAAGGGGATGTCAAACCTTTTGGGTTCAAGTGATGGAAGCTGAGAGTGTGGGTGACTCGGTTCGAATCGGTGACGGGGTTGATCCTGTACCACAGAAGATATTGGAGTTGTTGGCATGGAATCAGGATATCTTTCCAAAGGATTTGCCGCCAGGGCTACCCCCTAGCCGTGAGGTTGATCATCGGATTGAGGTTATTCCGGGTTCTAAACCACCTACAAAGGCTCCGTATCGTCTGAACATCAAGGAGATGGCTGAACTCAAGAAGCAACTCACAGAGCTTCTTGACAAAGGTCATATCCAACCAAGTAAATCCCCTTATGGAGCGCTGGTCCTTTTTGTTATGAAAAAGGATGGAACCATGAGGATGTGTATTGACTATCGGGCACTTAACAAGATCACGGTTAAAAACAGTTATCCTTTGCCTCGCATTGATGACTTGTTTGACCAACTCTTAAAGGCTAAGTATTTTACGCGACTTGATTTGCGGTCCGGGTATCATCAGATACGAGTGGCAGATCAGGATGTGGAGAAGACAGCCTTTAAGACTCGGTACGGATCTTATGAGTTCCTTGTCATGCCGTTCGGGTTATGCAATGCTCCGGCAACGTTCAGCACTATGATGAATAGAATATTTGGAGATTATTTGGACGCATTTGTTGTCCTATACATCGACGATGTTCTTGTCTTTAGTGAGACGTTGGAGGATCATTTGAAACACTTGGAGCTGGTGTTTCAGAAGTTGCGTGAACACAAACTGTATGCTAAGGAAAGTAAATGCGCTTTTGGACAATTGCGCGTAAACTTTCTCGGACATATAGTTGGTGGTGGTGTGATTGAGGTCGATCCAAAGAAGGTGGAAGCAGTGAAGTCCTGGGAAGTTCCAACCACTGTAACAGATGTTCGATCCTTTCTCGGTTTGGCGGGATACTATCGCAAGTTTGTCTGCAATTTTGCAAGGATTGCTCTTCCGTTGACTGAGTTGACAAAGAGTAGTATTCCGTTTCATTGGACACCAGCTTGCCAGCGTGCTTTTGCACGGTTGAAGGAGATCTTGACTACGGTTCCTGTTCTCAGGATCCCAGATCTTGATAAACCTTTCGAAGTGCATTGTGATGCATCTGGTTATGCTATCGGTGCCGTGTTGCAGCAAGATTGTGACAAAGCAGTTGGTGTTATGCTAAGGCGACATGGTTGTCCCGTTGCGTTCTATTCCAAGAAATTGGATGAGACCCAACAAAGATGGCCAACGCATGAGAAAGAGATGTTTGCTATAGTGTCGGCCCTGGAACACTGGAGACACTACTTGGGTGGACATACCAAGGTTTATACAGATAGTAACACACTGAGCTACTTTGCTACGCAGCCTAAGCTTACGCCAAAGCAGGCTCGTTGGCAAGAGAAGCTTGCTAGATATGATATTGAAATCATATATAAACCTGGTAAGGACAATATTGTTCCGGACGCGTTGAGTCATCAAGCTCAGTTCCGGGCATTATCGGCAATCAGTTCGGACTGGTTGAAGGATGTTCGGGCTTCGTATGGAAGTGATCCATTGGCGAAGGCAATCTTATGCCGTGCGGGGTTTTTGAAGCAGAGCCTTGGTAGCAAAGCAGCAAAAGTTGCTAGTCGCACTAATGCGAAGTTTCACTTCTCAGTTCGGGATGGGCTTATATTCTA